TGTGTGTGAGCGCTTGTGCAAGCCATGAAACTAGAGGAGAGAGTCAGGACTCGGCAGGCAGAGCAGTAAAGTCCGAAGGCCCTGGGGCAGAGAGATGTAAGCTTGGAATGTCTGAGGGACACTGGGATGTTGCCTGGGCTCCAGAGCTCAGCACCACCTCCGCCCCGCAGTGGTCTGGGACCCTGTGGCCACATCCGTGACCCTGTGGCCACATCCGTGCCTGCGTTTCTCACGGGTCCTCACGGTGCTGCACGGGCACTGAGTGCCGTCCCTACCAGAGTCCACTACAAAGCGGATCCCGTCGATGGTGACCGAGGTCTCTGCAATGTTGGTGGACAGGATGCACTTCCGTACACCAGCTGGAGCAACATCAAACACCTGGGGCAAGGAAGGCGGTCACATGAGGAGCTGACTCGGCCCCGATGGACGTGCTGGCTCAGTGTTCTTCTGGGTATTCCAGGAATACTTCACCCACGCACTCAAACAGCCTCAGCGCCCTCCCTGGCGCCCACCTCACCCTCTGTGCCCCGCCTGAGCCACCCTAGGCTCTCTCCCTCAGCTCCTCGGCCCTTTAACATCTTAAATGCCCCTTGACTCCTTCGCCATCCCCAAGCCCTGGCCCCTACTCCAGGCCCCTCCATCTCTACCCTCAGCCCACGGAGCTGCTCTCTGGCCTCCAGGTTCCAGTCAAACTCACTCTAACCCCCGCCCCGCCCCACGTCCCCACACTGTTCAGCCTGGCTCCCCAGGGTATTTGGGACAAATTTAGGCACTACACTTGAGTCTTCTGGGGCCCTGTAGTCCAGCCCCACCCGTCAGCCCCATCTCTCCTGACTTCTTCAGGCTTTCACCAAGGCCACTTTTGCAGAAGCCCTTCTCTAGGCTAGGCATGATGGCTAAGAGCAACAGCCATGGCCACATTCAGTCTGCCGCGTGTCTTTATAAATAAAATTTCCCTGGAACTCGGTGAGGGAGCCTGTGGCTTACACACCTGAAAGCAGAACCCTCTGGCCTTTTGTGGAAAATGTACTGTCTCCTGGTTAAGATCCCCAGGGCCAAATCTCCTGGATTTACAGGCTGCTTGGCCATTTGATGGTTGTAACCCCACCCAAGCCCACTGACCTGGGTCTGGGGGGTATAGCCAGTGCTGTGCGTAGGCACACTTGGTGCCTGGCCTACAGACTCCAACCAGCCCTGCCTGGGAGGCTGCCTGCAGTACCTTGTCTTGGTCGGCCACAGAGAGCGCGCTGTGCAGCGGCAGCACCACCCAGCGCTGGGTGAGGCTGGCATAGGCCTGGGCGGCGTCCAGCACCGTGCTGATCTCTGCCATGCCGCTGAGGAAGACAAGGAGGTCACCCCGCTCCTCAGGGGGGTACTTATTGTCGATGGCCTCCAGCACTCTCAGGAAAGGCCGTGGGTCCAGCCTCTCTGACTTGGACGCTGTCTGCTCTGCCTCCTGCGGCTGGTACACCACCTGTGAGAGAGAGCCAGTGCGGGAACACACGGTCACTCTGGGGCGGCGATGCGGCAGGGACCGTGTGCTCACAGTGGGGAGGAGGGGACACACAGCACAAGTGGTTGGCAGGTGACACGTTCAAGGTGGGCAACTTTTGGAGGAGATGGTGAGATCAAAGAGCAGTGAGGTAACGAGAAGGCTTCCAAGCGCTGGCCTTGGCAGCGCTGCAGGTTTTAAAATCTAGGTGCTGACGACAGACATGTATTAACTGGACGACAGCACATATGCTCTTACAGAATCACACCCTGAATAAGCAAAGGAGTGGGGCCTGTGAGGAACCCACGCAGGACACAGTAGGAAGCGTCCTCGTGGGCATGCAAAACGACAAACTCCCAGCTACAATGAAGTCCTGCCCGAGCATCTGACTATGCTGCAGACGAGGACAGACGCTTACTACACAATCTGGAGTGCCCCAGCGGGAGGAGGACACCTCTGACACATACATAGAAGGAGGGGTGCAGTTCGAGGTCCTACGATGACAGTCCCTGCCCTGCAAGGTGGTAGAGCTGTGAGGAAGGAGGAGCTGGAGTCCCTGAAGGACCACACGGAGCAGAGCAGCCTTCTGCCTGGGAAGGGACCCTAGCCTCACCCAGTCCCCTGCTTTAGCAGCCATGACAGGCTGCAGAAAAGACCCCGCAACGTACACTTGCCTGGCCTTGCCCGACACCCTCTATGAGGCAAGGAATCAATCAGAAGTTAGCTGGGGGGGGGGGGGGGGTGCTCTGGACACACTTTCCCGGCTCTCTCAGTGTGCTTTATGGTAAAAGTAGCATAACATTGACTGCAGAGCATAGCAACTGCCCTGGGAAGGCCTATAGGCCATAGCAACCAGTTGACCAATCAACGCAGGACAGGTCACCCAATCCCGGAAGTGCGCCAATCCTGAGACTGTTGCGTACCCCCTAGACACACCCCTTGCACACCCCAATAAATTCCCCGCCTCACAGTTTCCCGGGGGCCTTCTCATTCCACCCGCCATGGTGAACAGTTAAGTTATGGCAGTTAACTTGTTAATAATAAAAGACTCTCTGCTTTTGCATCGGAATGGGTCTCTTGGTTATTTGGGGGTTCAGAATTTGGGCACAACACCTGGAAGGGCTGGACTTCCCAGAAGAAAAATACGGGTCGGAATGCTCAGGGACCAGGTGCTTTAACGGGTCTGTCTGCGGCTGTAGGCTGCAGACAGAGACGGGAAAGGGCAGGGGGGACCAGAGGCAGGGAAGCCAGGGCTCACCGTGATGTGGAAAAGCCGCCCAGGCACCTGCACCACGGGAGCCTGGCTGAAGTAGCTGGAGAAGAGAGAGATGTTGATGGTAGCCGACATGAGGATGACCTTGAGGTCGGGCCGCCGGGGCAGCAGGCGACGCAGGACGCCCAGCAGGAAGTCATTGGGCAGGGGGGGCTCGCGCTGGATCTGGCGTAGGAGCAGCCCCACCGTCAGAAACACGATCTTGGTGGCCGCCGAGCGTGTGCTTTCAAAGCGGATCTGGTAGCCAACCTGGGGTGGGAGGGAGGAGAGTGTGAGGTCAGGCAGGCGGGGGACACAAGGAAGAGCCTTGGCACCAGAGATCCTCCCTGTCTGAGGCAAAGCCATGTCTGTGCGGCAGCCTCGAGTCCTGTGGGCTTGGGGTGGAATCAGAGCTCTGCTATGAGGCCGTTTACCTAGGCACACAAGGCCACCCTAGAGCCCGGATTTCCTACCCTGGAAGCACAAGCCACAGAATCAGAATTTTCTAATGGCTGCGAGGAAATAAGTTGGATGCTTCCATCTGTCTGGCTGTTAGGGTTGCTATACTGGATAATGCTAGCGCCGCTGTCATTTGGACCTGTACACGCGGAGATGCAGATGAGAGTTCTGGAATCATCTCTGAGTCCGTGCCTAAGTGGTAACTGTAATGCATACATATGGCCATGAGGGCTATCAACTCATTCCCTGGTGTCTCATTGGAAAACCTGGTGTGCTAACCCGGGAGCCATACTGACTGAGGCTCTCAAAGCCAACCCGCTTGGCCAGTGAGATGCAGGCGATTCTCCGGGGCTGAGTGCATGCCACGTGGCTGAA